TGTATCTTAGTCAAACATAGATCCAAGGTTTCTAGGGTTGTATGTACACCATAGGAGTGTTAGAATGCTTAAAACACATCAGAAAATTACACCAAGAAGCAATTTACCCAAATCTTGCAGTTACCCTCTACAGGTACATTCTATGAAGTTTCTACTGATCAAGTCATCCATATGTTCAATGAGATGGGTCATCAACCTACTCTTTCCACAATCAGTCACTTCAAGAAGTTGAGTTTGCCATATGTTTGGTGTTTTTTCTTCGGAATTACTCTATGGTGTTTAACAGGATGGAGTTCAGGTTTAGATAAGGCAAAGCTGGAAGTTTACTATGTTATGGTTGGGTTATATTATGGACTAAATGTTGACTATGCATCTTTGTTATAAGAAGAATTTGGGAATTCGATTTCTCATTCCAAACTGACAACTGGAGTTTCGAGTGCTAGGTTTTGGGGCTTGATTTGTATATACTCAATAAGGTGTTCTTTTTCCTTCTGATGTTGATACTGCTGAATTTCCACCAATGATAGTTCCTAAAGTTGTGGTGGATGATGCTACGATTTTCCCAATGGTTGCTCGAATTCATAATTCGATGCTCGAGTTAATGAATCCTACTCATCAATTACTAGTTAAGTATCAAGCTTCTATGGATTCCACTCTAACTGGTATTCTTCCACCAAAGGTTACCTCTAAAAGTGCTGAAGGTTCAACGAAAGCATCTAAGAGAAATAAGAAAAAGAAACAAGATGAGAAATCAAAGGAAGTAGAAGAAGATGTGGTTAAGGAGACTGTACCCACAAAGACATGAAAATGGGTACTTAAGAGGATGAAGAAAACTACTCCTAAGAAATAATCTACATCTGAACCCACGAAACCAACTGAAGTGCCTATAGTCGAAACTATTGTTACACAAGCTGAGAAAACTGCTACAGAGACTCCTACTCCTGTTTTTGAAACACTCACACAAGAAGGCGAACTTGCTGTGAGAAAGGGGGTTTCAAAGAAAGTTAATAAGCTATAATTTACAGGGAAAGGAGTTGTCATTCATGATGTTTCGTCTCCTAGTTATCTTGTATCGAGAAAGAGGAATGCATTAGAAGTTGTAAAAAAATTGAAAAAGATAAAGCATAATCTTGTTGAGGATCAAATAGAAAATGTTATTGTGGAGTCTGATCAGGACAATGATGACAACATAAATTGATGGTTTATTTCATGTGTCACCACGAAAGGTTACCTCTATCGAGTCGACTTTCGAGGAGACAAGTAGTCCCGATGTCAATGCAAACGTATCTAATATGGATGTCAACATCAATTCTGGTACACAACCAAGTTCAAGAATCCCGAAGACGGGAGTCACACCATCCAGGGTTTCGCATACTGAGTCCGTATGGAGGAGTTCAAAATTCCAGACATCACTGTGAACTTATCTGATAATGTCACCAATGTCAATATGGGTGAAGGGATGAAAACCATCGAAACATCAACCACAGTCACAACACAAATCGAAACAACTACTGTTCCACCACCACAATCATCTTCACCACCACCTATATCTGTTACTCCACCTACATCCACTTCTACATTTTCTCCTACTTTTGTTGGTATAATGCAAGAACCAATTGCTACTTTATTATCATCTCAATCAACTGAACCTGAGAAGACCATTCCTGAAGTTGAAGCAGACGATGATGATGTTATGGTTTCGTTTGCTTATTTGCAGTTCAACCTTGAAGAAGAAGATATACATGATAAGTTAATCATGTCGGGTAGACAATTCAAGATCCTTAATTCTAAAATTAATTATATTCTTCAATTTTTGGATGATATTGGTGGCAAGCACTCAGTTAGTGGAAATGAGGTTGAATATCTTTTAAAGTCTCAAGAGTCTCGTCTGAGAACCTTGATTGAAAGTGTTGATCAGAAAAATAAAGAGCGAGTGGCAAATCAGTCTCGTAATTTTGATCATGAGGTTTCTAAACTTTGTGATTTTGTGAAAGAACGTCATGAACTTTTTGAAAAGATGGTATCTGAATCGAAAGCTTCTCTTGAATTGAAGGTGAATGAGCTTAGAGAATTAATATCCAAAGAAGTTTAGAACTTGGATAACTACTGTGTTTGTGAATAAAAAGATTGATGCAGTGGCTGATGCAACAACTCGATTGATAGAAGATATTACTGCTTTCAGAAAGGATTATTCACATGATCTCAAGGTCAAGTTTGAAAAAGATGACAAAGTTTTTGAGAAGGTTCAAAATTTTTTGTATGATTTTAAAGAAACTTTGTCAGAAATTGATCTTTCGTCTCTCAATATTCTATTTCTGCAATGATTTCGAATATCCAGTCAAGTATCAAAGCAGAGTTGGCTCCAATCCTCAATTTGGTACTTCGACTACCAACAAATGTTCCACGTCCCGCGCACGTCTCGTAAAGGGGAGAAAGGGGAGTTGGTTCTTCAAAGGGTTCAGTCGAAAGTACTTAACTTTCGTTATCTTATATATTTACAAGGCATTTTCAGTTTCGCATTGTATTGTCAGTCCTTGTATTTTTTTTTTGTGTCTGTGATGTACCCTATAAATAGGGTACATACTTAGGTGATAGGGTAATGAACACTCTCAGAATACTTTCTGTACTCTAAAACTTTTGTACTTTTCTAGATAATATACTAAACTAAACAGATCATATTTAGATTTTCATGTTCTTTACTGCTTTCATTGATTCAATTGATTAAAACGCAATTTAAAACTCTCTTGAGTTATGTTTTCAAACAATTAATTAAAGATTATATATGTTTTTACGTTTTATCAGTTATGATCCGATCATATTATTTTGATCATTTTGTGTGATGTTAAAAGTTGAGTTTTCACACAACTAGTTAAAGGTTATATATTTTTTTTTACGTTTTATCCATTATGATTTGATCTGATTATTTTGATCATTTTGACCGACCCGATTATATAACCATTTTCTAGTGTCTCTAATCTAAAAAGTTTCTATTCAAAACTTGATGTTACAACTTGTATAAAGATACGCATAGTGAAAAGAGAAAAACATAATCTTCAGGTCGACAATGTAATCATTGTTGTTTTTAGATTTTCTTTTTGGAGATTTTTTAACAATTGAACACCGAAATTTTTTCATTTTATATTTTAATTGTAAAACAAATTTTTGTTAGAGTTACACTTCTCATTTTCACTTATTTTGATATACATTGACACTTATCATTGTTAGATGTTATATTTTTGTTAGAACAACATTAGAAAAAGATCCTACAAATGACACTTATCATTATTTAGACATTATATTTCTCAATTAGGTACAAAAATTTGTTTTACAAAGCCCCAAAAATACAGGATAATTGTCATTTGAAGGACTGCGTTGGTTAAAGAAATCTACAAATGATAGAATATGGTAATTGGCTATTAGTGTAAAGACTATTATTGTAAAAAAAAATCTACTATATTTGCAAAATGGTTCTCATTCGAAGGACTTTTATGGGTAAGTATTAAGAATATGACAAAATAGTGAGATTGGCTAATAGTGTAAGGATTATTATTGTAAGGTATAGAAATTGCGAGGGTGAAATTTTATAATCTACCGTTCTTTATTATGTGCCTGCCCACCGCGTGTTCTTCCTTTCCCTCTCCCTCCACCTCCCCGTCCCCCCTCCATCTACGTTTCCCATCATAAACACACACAAAAATAACCCACAAACAGGTGGGTCGATGAATGCAGAGAATGATTTTGAATAATTAAACATCGTTTTATTTTAAATTTTCGGTTTTTTAGGTTTAGAATTTCGAACCAGATTTGAACTCTACAAAAATGGCGATCATATCGCAGGACGTGATAAAGGAATTCGAGAATATGATGGAATCAAGTCGGTGTTTTTCTCTAAAAAACCCTAATTCGTTGCTATCGTTGATTCTTTGTCTTTTACTTGTTATTTTGATCTATAGCATCGCTAACAATTTTCTTTTTCTTTTTCTTTTTGCAAATTTGTTGTTTCAGTTGATGAGCCACTCAAGATTACATTTGAGGTTTAGCTTTCTGCTCTCTTTCTATTTGTTTACATCATTATGTTTCTGATGGATCTGCTGGGTGTAGTTTAGAATGTGTATTTCAAATTAACGTGATCCTGTTTGGTAATTGTAAATAGTTTTGTGCTTGATCGGAACCTCTATATTCGAATCGTAAGTCAACATTTGAGTCTTTTTGCTCAAATGAACAAGAGGTGTCAAATTGTAATACAAATGAACTCCCAGGTTGAAATTTTGTTATTTTCTGGTTTAGTTGCCCCTACCCATTTTTTCGTAGTTAAGAGGTCTTCAAAGTTTTTTTAGTATAAAATCATAATGGAACAATTTTCACCCTTAAAAAGGAATTTTTCTTATATCAACTTATTAAGCATTCAATTTTGCTCCTCTTTAGTATATTTTCTGGTTTAATAATAGTGATTGAGCTCACATGTGGTGGTGTTATTTGAGTTTTGATGTCAATTAGGTTACTTCAAAAAAATCTTTATTATCATAATAATTTACAATTATTTGAAAAAGAAGTTTATCTTTAATTTGTATGGAGTTGTTTTACTAAAAGTGGAATTGGATGCTTATTTTCAGAATTTGCATCAAGGGTATCCAACTGAGGCCCTGATCAGGTTTCTAAAGGCAAGAGATGGAAATGTCCCCAAAGCCCACAAAATGGTCAGCTCAAATTCCTTTCTTGAAATTCATCTGTTATTTTTTAAGATTCCTAATTATAAAATATTCTCTTTTCAGCTTGTTGATTGTTTAAGTTGGAGGATTCAAAATGAGATTGATAATATATTGTCGGTGAGTAAATATAATTGTTATGGATGCCATAAATAAAACTCGATAAGTCCATGCAAAATATTAACTTTTTTTTTTTTGTTTATATCATCTATACAGAAACCAATCGTCCCTGCTGACTTTTATAGAGGAGTCCGTGATTCACAGCTTTTAGGAATGTCAGGTTACACAAAAGAGGTACTCATCTTTACCATATTTGTCAATTTTTCCCCCTCAAAGAAACATTGTAATCAAAAATTCCAATGACAAGTGACTGTTGTTTGGTTTGTTGTTAAAGGGGCGGCCTGTTTTTGCTGTTGGTGTAGGGCTCAGCACATATGATAACGCCTCTGTAAGATAAGACTTATCATTAATGTTTTCTTACTTGGAAAAAAGGGTATATTCGTCTTTTGTTGTGGTATAGGCCATGTGTAAACATAACATAATGCAGCTAGTATTCTCTCCACAAATAAATAATAAGTTGGTTTATATGAGCGTATTGATTATCGTATATATAGTCTTTATTTACCACTAAAATTCTTTTCCTTTTTTTATAGATTCATTACTATGTTCAATCGCATATCCAGATAAATGAATACAGAGACCGGATATTAGTGGTAAGTTATTAATTGCAATAAGTAAATAATATTAGCTTTTAGCTTTTAGTTAATAATCCAATTTTCCTTTTTTTTTTTTTTTTTTCTAGCCAGCTGCAACGAAAAAGTTTGACCGACATATTAGCACATGTGTCAAGGTTCTGGATATGACTGGACTTAAAATCTCACAACTCAGTCAACTTAAGGTACTAAGACTCATTTTCTTATAGTATAAATCTATATAATAAAAGGGAACTTTTTTATGTTTAAATCAAATGTCCCATTGAACTTTTGGTAGGAAAAAAATGGTAGAGTTGTATGAAAAGTAGAATAATGATGTGGCAATCCATTAAACTCATCTTTGTAAAGTTTAATGCATTGTATTTGTAGGTATGATAGGTGAATTGAGCTTTTGTTAAGTCAAACAATCTTCAAAAGGTTTTTATTAATCAAAGTAAATATATTTTTGGCCTTTTAAAGAAATTCAAGTTTCATGTCCTTATTTTTCTAGCCAACTTAAAATTTATGAAATAGCGTGACAAAATAATAATAAAAATCATATTTTTTTTATGATTGTATGCAGTTATTGACAGTTATATCTAGCATTGATGACTTGAACTACCCAGAAAAAAGTGACGCCTACTATATTGTGAATGCTCCATACATATTTTCAGCTTGCTGGAAGGTTTGTTATTTTAACTTTAACAAAAAAAAAAAAAAATAAAGGGATTTCTTGTTCGCCTGTAAGTTTAAAGTTTGTAGGTTGTGAGGCCTCTTTTGCAAGAAAGAACAAGGAAGAAAGTTCAAGTCCTTTCAGGTTGTGGAAAAGATGAATTATTGAAGGTGATAATCTCATAATGATATATTTTTACTTTAAATATCAAAACTTAGGTATACGCAAAAATCGAAGAGGGAATAAAAAAAATAAAAAATAAAAGATGAAAAGAGAGTAGAGTGGTAACGTATGTTTGACTTGAATAATGGGCAGATAATGGATTATGATTCCCTGCCACATTTTGTTAGAAGAGAAGGAGGTGGAGGTGGATCATCTTCATCGAGAGGTTCAAAAAACAGCAATGGTGCTGATGACAATTGCTTCTCATTGGATCATGAGTTCCATCAGGAGCTTTATAATTATATTAACAAGCAAGCTGAGGATGTGGAGCCTCCACGTGTCACAAAACACAGATCATTTCATGTGGATTTCCCTGAACCCAATCCGGATGATTGTAGGATTGCACAGAGTATAGAATCCGAATTACAAAAGTTCAGTCAGGGGAATGGAATTGCTGACCCCACACTAAATCAAGATCATAAACAAAAGAAATAATTATACTATTTAATAAAACTAATATTTATTCCCTCCTGTCAATCTATGTGACCCGGGTTTAATTTCAAATTTAAAAACCCGTTGAGGGTTTTAAGGATTACAAAAAAGACAGAAATGTTGTAACTTTATAACTTGCTTTTTTCATCAGGGTAATAATCCTTCCTTGTGTCTCTCTATCTCTCTTTCAACTTTAAAAACTTGGTTTTCAATCTAACTTTTTTGGATGAAACAAATACAAGGAGAAGAAACGAATATACCTTCTTTTTATCAACTGTTTGCTTCATATATATATATATATATAT